GTGATGCCATGGCACTCTACCCAGGGGGATAGCTTGAGGCTCCGTCTCAAAAAAAAAAAAAAACAAGTATACTAGGGCTTTAAACACACTTGGTGTGAAGAGATGGTCAGGTATAATACCAGGGTGCCAAAAAATGTATGCACATTGTAAGTGATCTTGTTGGAAATAAAATTGATCATTCCTAAAAGTATATGAATTGCAGGTAAAATGGATGTGTGTAGTATGTCCAGGTACACTTGACCAGAAATAGTACCTTAAGTTCAAAAAGTGATACAGCAATAACATCCCTTAAAATTTGTACACTTTTTTTGTAACCTTCTGTACAAGTGGGGTTGGCATTGTTTGCAGTACTGTTAGTAGTAGTATCTAGCAGTTACTCTGTGGCATTTGACATAATGATAATATAAGAGCATTTTATTTTAGATGTATAAACTACTCGGTCAGCACATTTACTATTTGGAATTGTCCACAGGGAAGTTTTTAGCAGACAACATCGTAGGGTCCGTCCTGGTTTTCTCCTTGATATTTTGGATTCCTTTCAGCATTCTTGTCCATTGTGTGGTAAGTCATCAATTTTTAAATAATTAAACAATTTAAAATTTTTTTTAAATTGTAATTCCAACCACAAAAATCTTTGGAAAAGATAAAATTTGTTCTTAGAAAGTCTGGCCTGATAATTCCAATGACCTTTTTTTGGTTTTATACCTAGGAGGACATGTCTTGTAGAAACCTTAGCTAATTGCCTTTTTAAAAAAATGATACTTGGGGGAGCAGCACCTGTGGCTCAGTGGGCAAGGTGCTGGCCCCATATATCGAGGATGGCGGGTTCAAACCCCAGCCAAATTGCAACACAAATATAGCCAGGCATTGTAGCAGGGCGCTTGTAGTCCCAGCTACTTGGAGGCTGAGGCAGGTGCCTGTGGTCCCAGCTACTCAGGAGGCAAAGCAAGGAAATCACCTAAGCCCAGGAGTTGGAGGTTGCTGTGAGCTGTCATGCCATGGCACTCTACGCAGGGCAACAGCTTGAGGCTTTGTCTGAAAAATAAATAAATAGAATGATACTCTTTTTGTGTGGGTGTTTTATGCTAATATAATTTCTTAGGAATTTTATACTTCTAAGCACAGGAGACTATTATCTCGCTTTGTCTGGGACTTTAATGAGTAAAGTGTCTGTTATAAACAAGAGATTTCAGGCTGACTTTGTTTTAATAGCAGCAATATAATGCAACAACATTTCAAATCCATGTATCATGTAGATTCTGTGTGTTATTATATAGGGTATTCAGGTCTTTCCAACTAAAGAGTGAGCAAGCAGTCTTTTCTATTGTTCAAAACTGAATAACAGCTATAAGTTGAATTGGACTTTTCTAAAGAACTCCGGGTACCGAGTAAGAATCCATTCACCTTGCATCTGTGGGGAATGGGGATTTGTCTGCTGTAGAATTGAGAAAGTCAGACCCAAGCTTTCAGACTTGTTCTCTGAAACTTTTTCCCAGCACTCCTTCTAGGAGCACTTTAAAAAGTCCATCACAGCTAACTCTCATGACAGAGGCATTTGTCCTCCCTTCTGCTTCCTTTTCTTTCCTGTGGCTTCTCCTTGAGCAGCTCTTCTTCAGCAGAGTGGCCAGTGTGATGGGAGCAGGGAGGAAAATCTCCAGGGAGTACTACTCTTGAAGTAAAGCTGTTTGAAAGGTGACAGGGTTGAAGCTGTGAGCCAGGACAGTGTGAGGCCATGGTGAGAGGCTGTTGACCCCTCTGATTCTGCCTCCCCACCTGGGACAGTGATCTGCATACACAAGAAGATAACCCTTTTTATTATTCACCTGCACAAGAGTGGGGGTGGGGGTATCTCTCAGAAAGATAGCATTTAAACCTTGCCTCTTTCTGTCCTTAATGCCAAAAACATATTTCCTTTGAATGCAAAGTAAGCACTTCTAGACTGGTGGCCCAGTGGATAGCTTACATGAGAAACCCATTCTCATCTGTCACACCTGCTACCAGTGTCTATAACTTAGGTTCTAAGTGAGGAAAGAATATTTACTAACTGAATTTTATATGTAGGAATGACCTTTTTTCTTGCTATTGTTTTCTTTCTAGGATAAGAAATTGGATAAGCAATATGAATCTCTGTCACTCTTCCACCCCAGTGTAAGTACACCACATGAAAGAAAAAGGCTTTTCCAGTCATATCTTGAGACCCTGTTAAGCAGAGACCCCGAGCTGTCAGCCCTTGTAGCTGCACTCTGTCTGGTGGGTGGAAGGTTCTAAGTTGGGTGTTAACTCTCCTGACAACACTGAAGATGAACTTTGGTTAATTGCATGGATAAGAGATTTAAAAGAGAAAAGGACAATATGTGATGTTCTTGCCTGTAAACCTAGCATTTTGGGAGGCTGAGGCAAGAAGATCACTTGAGATCAAGATCACTTGAGACCAGCCTGGGCAACACAGTGAGACCCTGTGTCCACAAAATATTTAAAACCTAGCCAGGTGTGCCAGGACATGCCTGTATTCCCAGCTACTTGAGGAGCTGAAGTGGGAGGATCAGTTGTGCCCAGGAGTTTGAGGCTTTAGTGAGTTGTGAGCATGCCAGTGCACTCCAGCCTGGGCAACAAAGCAAGACCTTGTCTCCAGAAAGAAAAATACACACAAAAAAGTGTTGTTCTGCCCCTCCTATAGCCATAAGGAGTGATTTAACTGTTCAGGACTGAGTTAGTATTTTGAGATTGTTTTGTGGTTTAGGGTCTTGATAGTTCAAATTATCTTTTGGGTCCTCAAATGGTAAACTCTCAGGACACTTGAAAGCGTATTTGGAGTTAACTTCTTAGGTTAAGTTTTGCCTAGCACTCCTTAGCAAGAGAGATCTTAGTGCAAGAGAATAAAGGCCATCTTGGATGGCTAAGGTTGGAGCTGTGAGGACCTTTGATTCATTCTTTATTACTATCCATCAAATCCTTATCTTTACAGAATGTTGAAATGCTGAGCAGCATGGATTCAGCATCAGTTCGAGTTCTCAAACCACTTCCTGCGCCCCAGACTCCAGGCCGCCTACAGGCCTCCCCTGTGATCCCAGTGGTAGCTGTGGCTCCAAAGTTGGACCACCAGAGAATGGATACCATTCAGGAGGACCCCAGCACAGACTCACATGTGGACGAGGATGGTTTTGAGAAGGACCCCTTCCCAAATAGCAGCACAGCTGCCAAATCATTTGAAGATCTCACAGACCATCCAATCACCAGAAGTGAAAAGGCCACCTCCTTTAAACTACAGCGTCAGAATCGTGTTGACAGCAAAGAGACAGAGTGCTAGTTTAGGGCTCCATATTCTAGGCTCTTTTGACTTAGGTGCAAAATATTTTTATAGATTTTGACCTAAAATCACAGCATATGTTTAGTGGAGATTTGAAGAAATGAGGAAGTGACTAACAGCAGATGCTGGTCATGTGTTTGAACTTCCTGCATGTAAATAACACTGTGTGGCGAGGCCCTTTCCTTTGAAGAGGTGAGGTGAATCCAGCTTATGTTGAGGCTTTCAGGTTTTGTTTTTTGTGAACTTTAAAATATCTTTTGACCTGTGGTGGAAAAGCAGACAATACAGGTGGATTAGGCTATAAATATTTACGTTTTTGTAAATTAACCTTTTATATTAACAGCACTGATTAGGGAGATGATCAGTTTTTCTTTTGTATACACTGTAACTGATCCGCTGAGTATATAATGAGGCACTTAGCAGTTATTTGTGAGGACAACTGGAACACAGATTTATTTATTTGTCTTCAAGTAGAGACAAAGGGTGAGATAAACCCAGTTATACATTATCTCTAAAAAGTAGGTCTTTTTTCTGGGTATTTCCCAGAGCTTTTACTATATGTCTAAAGGTAGAAATCACGTGGGTTAATATGTCTCATCCTTCTTCTGAAGCTAATACTTTCTAGAATTAAAACAATCTAACTTGAGGTGAGGGTTGCAAATAGAATCCCACCAACTGTTTTTAGAACCTTAATTTCCTGGTTAGTTTTTCCATGTTTTATAAATATGTTCATGTCTCCCTAATACTGTTACCATGCTTTTAAAAAATTCACTGTCCACAAAGCCCGAACTACTTCCAAATATAATTAGAAGGAGCATGGTTGCCTGTTTTCAAACACAAGGGGTTCAGTATTTCTTACCAGAGATGAGGTGGTTGACTAGGCAGAGGGGTGACGAGTCAGCAGGGGAGGAAATTCTCCTGCCCTGGTGAGGCCTGCTCCTCTTAGAAGAGACGCCCTAGAAGCCCTTGTCAGTGACCCACACTGGATATTTGACTGACTTCTTGCTTTAGTGCTTCTGGATTCTAAGATGATCTGCATTTACCATGAAGGGTAAAAGTCATTACTCTGATTTCTGTTTTCCGTAAAATTAGTTCAAAATTTTACATCCCCAGAACTGAAGTGTCCTCACCAGGCATCACGTTTTAACTGAGATACCTTGTAAACTTTGAGGACAATTAACCAAACCTGTGACAAATCATGCCTTTCCCCTCTCCAAGGATGCTTCTTACACAGGTAACTTGTTACACTAATACTTGAACTTTGTGCCTTATGGTATTCGCTATCTTTTAACCAGATACAATACTCTTACATTTTAGTTACACTTTCAGAATTTGATACAAGGTGAATGGGGTGTGTGGGTGTATGTATGAGTGAAACAGTTCTCATCAGAATGTAAAAAAACATTTTTATAAAATTGTGACTTTTTAAAAAAATAATTGTCTTACCTTTTTGCCATATATAGAATTTATAAGCTGCTCAGGGTATATCTTATAGCCATGGCACTAATAACATCTACACCAAGCAATAAATATTTACTATCAAAACACAGTGTATATAAGTACAAAAATTCCATGAAAAATCCTAATATTTTTATTAATATTGGTGACAATGTGGTTTTTGATCCAGAGGCACGAGGAATTGTTTAAGCTTAAAAACAAAAATATTCTTATGTTGATCTCCTGGGAATCTGTGTGTGTTAGGAAATTGAGTTCTGTGGATTGCCAGTCAGACTTGGGTTTCCAGTGATGACTAATGGTCTCCGTCTCCCAGCAAACTTAATTCAGGCTTTGCTTCTGCCACATCTCGCCAGTACGGAAGCAGCAAAGGCAGAGAAGAGACCCTCCTCTCTATCAAAGGCCAGAGATGTGAGAACAAAAACTCATTTCCCTTTGGTGACAAATGGAGTCCATCTGATAAATAGGATGAAAAGTCCTGTAAGGAAGGGAGAACGCGGGTAAGATGTGATTTTGCCAGTGGTGCCACTCTCCTGGTTGTAGGCCTGCAACAAAATGGTTACCAGTCCCTTTCATTTCAAGCATCTGACCAGAGTTGTCTGGGACATGTACCATTTACACAGGTGCTCAGATACACAGAACATTCACTAGTACTGCAGGTACCATCTCCATGTTAGGGAACTGAGCTTCCTAAAATCACTGTCAGGGTGAGATATTATTCTAGGTCTTTGGTTCTCAGGTTATCGGTTGGAAGAGGCTTAATGAGTGAATATGGACCATTAATGCAATCAATGGAAATGAAAAGTTTGGTATTAAAGAGCTTGAGATCCCAGTAAGTCATTGTTTTTGACTTAGTCTGTGTGTTACATTGGTAGGCAGGTTTTTAGGTGGAAAGAACTTGTACCATCCAGCCTAGAAGAATAATTGCTGGGATATTAGAGTATAGTCTCCCCAGTCCTCCCCTGAACTGAAGAATATTTAACCTTAGAGCCATTTCTGCCTTGGGGAAGAATCTCACTAGGCAAATGCTCCGCTCCAATCCCTGGTGGAAACTGGGTGGCCAGTGAGCTGTATGACTTACAGACCAGGAATTGAGATTCTGGTAGCATTTCTCCCTGGGCCTTGGTTTTCTCATCGAGGTGGTTGTAGATTAGATGTTCTCTAAGGAAGACACTCCCAGTTTGACAATCTTAAAGGACATGGGAGCATAGCTAGCCGGTGGTTTACACTTTCCTCTAGTAGCACAACCTTTTCAGGCCATCTCAGATGGAATCTTAGACAATAGAACTCCAGATGTCGACCTTTAGGTACTCAAGCTTCCAAGGTGCCTCCTGATCTGGGAATCCTGGAAATTCAAGTCTAGCCAAGGTTTCAAAGGAAGATGAGGCACAGGAGTCCAGTGACTTAGGTACAGAGCTGGCACCGAAGCCAGGGCTCATAGGGCCTCCACAAGTGATTAGTGATTCTCAGTATCCGAAGAGTACTATGATTCCCATTTCCCCCATTACAGATGTATAAACATGTAAATATTAAGAATTACTAGGTCATTGGGAAGATTGGTATGGATTAAGACAGCAGAAAAAGTCGGCACCTAATTTAGTGATTCTTTGCTGTTTTCTTTTTACCTTCCTTTGTCCAAGTAGCCAAACCTGACAGCTGTGGGTAAACTGGAATGGGGCCACAAGGCTTCCTACATACCAGACCCTCCCTTCCCCTGGGTTCTTCAAATGCCTTCAGTCTCAGCAACGTCCGCTGCTTTCTGGCTCTCAGCACAGCAGTGAAATGGCCTTTTAGGTGCTTTGCAGCACTGACCCTTTACTAAAGAATGCAGAGTTGTAGAAAAATTAGAAAGGCCAGTGCCTGCCCTCTTCTGTGCCCTCCTTCACCTTACCCTCTGGCCACCACCAAGTATTCTGTCACTATCGTCTTACCTTCTGAGACACCAGAGATGGGATCGCACATGTATAGCCTTTTGGGACTGGCCCCTTTCCTCAGCGAAATGCCCCTTGAGATTCACCCCAACTGCGGCATACGTGCAGTTTCCTCTATTGCAAAGCAGTATTCACTGATGTACATTTATCCATAGGAAGATAGCTGGGCATTTCTAGCTTTGGGCAGTTTTGAATAATGCTGCCCATAAACAGTTATACACAGGTTTTACGGGAAGCTAGTTTTCATCTCTAGGCCAAATACCCAGGATTGGATTGCTGGGTCCCCCATAAGTGTCTCCTCAGTGGCTGCACTATTCTGACACAGGGACCAGCTTTTTATACCTTTTATATTTGTAAATGCACTTTCAGGCTTTAAAACAAAGTAATTTTAATTAGAATTACATAGCTCAAACTCAATTTTATTAGCTAATACCACATTTTACTTACATTCACTGTTTTGTCTGTTAACAAGTTTTAACCCCTCCCCCCACTCTATTTATAAAACAACATGGCCTGGGCCAGGTATGATGGCTCACATCTGTAATCTTAGGTCTCTGAGAGGCCAAGGTGGGTTAACTGCTTGAGTTAAGGAGTTTGAGACCGGCCTGTGCAAGACTGAGACCCTATCACTACTGAAAATAGAAAACTAGCCTGGTGTTCTGGCAGGCACCTATAGTCCCAGCTACTGGGGAGGCTGAGGCAAGAGAATTGCTTGAGCCCAAGAGTTTGAGGTTGCTGTGAGTTGTGATGCCATGCACTCTACAGAGGGCAACAAAGTGAGACTGTCTTAAAAAAAAAGAATTCAGCCTGGCCTGGATGTGTTGTTTGTTTGAGACAGTCTTACTATGTCACCCAGGCTAGAATACAGTGATGTCATCAGGCCTGAGCTACCTCGCCTGGCCATGGATGTTCTTAAATATGAACCATTTATTCCTCATTGATGTCACCAAATAGTAACTCCTAGCTAAGGAACTAGGCTGAAACTAGAAACTAAGCTACTGGGTTTGTGAGATGTTCTGGAGCCTTCTATGCCTTCCCCTTACCCCCAATCATTTTATTTATTTATTTATTTATTTTGAGACAGAGTCTCACTTTGTCACCCTCAGTAGAGTACTGTGGTGTCACAGCTCACAGCAACCTCAAACTCTTGGGCTTAAGTGATTCTCTTGTCTCAGCCTCCCAAGTAGCTGGGACTACAGGCGTCCACCACAACACCTGGCTATTTGTTTGCTGTTATAGTTGTCATTGTTGTCTAGCTGGCTGAGTTCAAACCTGCCAACCCCAGTGTTTGTGGCTGGTGCTCTAGTCACTGAACTATGGGTGCCAATCCCAAATCATTTTATTTTTATTGGTGAAAGGGACAGCTGTCTTAACTAAGCAGAGCCCTTCCAAGAAAACCTATACACACATATCTGGCTTATTTCTGCGATCCCACTTATTCCGAGAGGACTGAGCAAGTCACTGTACCTGGCTGTCCTTCTGCATCAGGGTCCACAGGTCAAGTACATCAGTCCCACAGTCTTGGGCTACTTGTAAACATGCGTTGGCATATTCACCAACAACTGAGTTCAGGCGATTTAATTTGCAACCTATTGAAGGGAGGAAATCCAAGTGACATCTGGTAAGCCCAAGTGCTGCTCCTTATGCAAGTTCTATGGACCTGGACAGTTTCAAACTTAAGTTAAAAACTGACCCCACCTGGAGCAGCTGTGGGGGTTGTGGAAAATTAAGCTGTGGGTCTTGCAGGTTACTCACATGTGCTGCTCTACCCAGCAGAGGACAAGTACCTGGGTTCTGAGTCAGACTTCCTGGATCTGTCACTGGCTGTGTGATCTTAGGCAAGTTACTTAACTTCTGAGACTGAAGTTCCTCATCAGTTAAGAGGAAACAGTCTTCCATTACTTAGTTCAATGTAAGCATTGCACATTGTATATTTAAACAGTACCCTGAACCCCATAAAGGCATCAATGTACAAAGTTAAGATTTAATAAAACAATTAAACATCTAGCATGCTTAAAATGGGCCCCCATTTACCTGAAAACAACAGCTAATTTTGAGCTCTCCTGTGTTGTAAAGCCATTAATTTGTCTTAGAATAACCTGTTTTCCTTTAGTTTTAGGCAACTTAGAAAAATTCCAAAAGCACCTTCTCAACCATTCAGATACAGTTGACCCTTGAGCAATACAGGTTTGAACTGCAAGGTCTACTTGTTATACATACATTATTTTTTCATCCAAAGGCAGATCAAAAATACACTATTTGCAAGTTGCAAGGCCTGAGTATGTGAAGGGCCAACTGTGGTACTTGAGCTATACAGATTTTGGTACACTTGGGGACCCTGGAGCCTCCTCAAGTGTACTGAGGGACAACTCTATGTCAGAATGAGAGAACTATTAGACTCGAGTTGCGTAACAGTGTCCGTAAGTAGAAGAAAACATGAAGAGATTTTACCACTACCCTTTGTCTCTAAATGCCAAATAGGCGAAAAAGGGAAGAATCTCTATGGACAGAGCAGAGAAAGGGCCATCTCTCCTGCTCACCTACAGATGGAAAGCAAATGGCTGCAGGTGGCTTCCACCTCTGGAAAGTCAGGAAAAATGCCCCCAAGGTAGAGATAAAAGTCAAGGGCACATCCAGCTCCTCAATTTCAGCACTGAAGTTTGCCCGACTTTCCAGACACTCCCTCAGCTCTCTGCAGTTCTCGTGTACCTCGATTCAGCAACTATAAAGATCAAGTGCCAGGCCAGTGGCTCCCTCCTGAGTTATCCAAAGCCATAATCCCTTTTCTCTGTGAAAAGAGCCCTTAGGTATGAGATAATGGACACTATACTTGTAACCTCAGTTGACTAAGAACAGACTGGTAAGGATATACCACCCCGCTAAGCTGAGACCTCTGGCAGGAAGCCACTGTCCTGCCGGGGTCTGATGAGATGGGCTCAGGCTCCTTTACCCTGCGCCAGGCACTCAGCTTCCCAGGCTGTTTCACAGAGAGGGGGCGGGGTGATGAGAATGACGCGGTTCTCCGGGACATCCACAGACTTCAGGTACCGCACCATGCTCTTTAAATTCGCAACGTACTCATCCAGGGGAACGTGTTGCTTGGGATTCTCATCTGTTGAATGAAGCATGAATACGTCAGCTCAAGTGCACACTTATTATAAGTGACAATTAAGATGAATACACTTTTGCAAATGCCTGTTACTCATGATATCATTGGGGGAACTGTTTAGCACCGAGGACACAGAGAAGACTGCCCTGCTCTTGAATTAAAGTGTACAGTTCTCTTAAAACGAGACTTCAGAGGCTCTAGGGGCATTTTAAGGCCTGTTTTCTCTGGAGTCCAATTTGTTACTAATTGATTAGGTCGAATTTGTAAAGCAAACAGCCCTGGCTGTGGAGTAAAACTGCTCAGGTTCCAACCCTGGCTTTGTGACTGACTATCCACGTGACCTCAGGCAACTCCGTCACCTCCCTGGGAAAACAGGGATGATAATAGGGTCTCTCCTGGGGTAACTAGGCAAGTTAAATTAGCTAAGTGTGTAAAGCAGAGAGCAGGGTGCTTTCCACAAAGCAAGCGGGCAATAAACAAGTGTTAACCTCACTACTGCAGTTACCATGATGACAGAGGATGATTTCTAGATCTGCTCTCACACAAGTATTACCAGGCTCCTTGTAGACCATCTCCAAGTACAGAAAGTACAGTAAAAAGAAGAAAATAAAGTGACCTGTGCCCACCACCCAGAAGCCAAACTGATACTTGGATGCACATTCCCACTTTCCCACATAGATACGTGTACTTTCAAAACATGAGATCACATTGAAGATATGCGGCTTTACACTGTTTTTTCTACATAAAGTCCCTTGAGTTACAAACATCTGACTTATGTACGACTTGCACTTACAAACAGAGGCTATTACAGATAATAGGTAAAATGTACCTGTTCCAACTTACAGAAATTCAACTTAAGAACCTATAGACACTATGTTGTTCGTAACCCAGGGACTGCTTGTGATGTTTTATTACAAACATTTCTGTATCCACAAATAAACTTCAAAGACCATGAAATTGGCTGGGTAAGGTGGCTCAGGCTGTAATCCTAGCACTCCAGGAGGCTAAGGCGGTGGATTGCCTGAACTCACAGGTTCGAGACCAGCCTGAGCCACAGCAAGACCCCCGTCTCTAAAAAAATACCTGGGCATTGTGGTGGGTGCCCACAGTTCCAGCTACTTGGGAGGCTGAGGCAAGAGAATAGCTTGAGTCCAGGAGTTTGAGGTTGCTATGAGCAATAACACCATGGCACTCAATCCTAGAGCAAGTGAATGAAATTCTGTTTCAAAAAATAAAATATGGCTCAGCGCCTGTAGCACAGTGGTTATGGCATCAGCCACGTACATCGAGGGTGGCGGGTTCAAACCTGGCCTGGCCAGCTAAAACAACAATGACAATAACAAAAAATAGCTAGGTGTTATGGCGGGTGCCTATAGTCCCAGCTACTTGGGAGGCTAAGGCAAGAGAATTGCTTGAGCTCAAGGATTTGAGGTTGCTGTGAGCTGTGATGCCACAGCACTCTATTGAGGGTGACACAGTGAGACTATCTCAAAATACATAAAAATAAATAAAGTAACATTATTAAAACAAATTTTTTCCCCCTGAGTTTTCTTTCTTACAGCTTTTGGTGTAAAATAAACAAAGATTTACTTTGTTTTCTCCCATGTGGTTACCTTACAGCCTCTCTCCTGATAACCTATAATTTATATAATCCTTTTAGGCAGCAAGATTTCTCAAATCAGTTGGCAGTGTTCATCTCCAGACTCACCTGCGAGGTTTCCCCATGTGCCTATAGAGAGCAGACACGCCACGTCTGTGGCACAGCTAGGGACACAGAAGAAATCTCTAGAAGCTGACTACCCAATTCCCCAAAACAAAGGTTGACTTTTCTCCTTTCTACTCACAAGAGAATCTCCTTAAGGGAGTAGAAAGAACAGAAAGGCTTCTTATGTGGCCAATTCTGGGCTAGTCACAGCAGCAATTCTTCAGCAAAAAGGGAAGACCAGGTTCCTTTTCCAAATCCATGTTCACCACCACCAAGATTTAAGGCCAATCCAGGTCAAGGTTAATGTTGCCCTGAAATACACCTGTCTCATCAGTGTGATACAAACTGTATGGTGCTGGGAGGCTCAGGGTGGATTGCCTGAGCTTATAGGTTCAAGACCATCCTGAGCCAGAGTAAGACCCTGTCACTAAAAATAGCCAGGTACTGTGGTGGCACTTGTAGTCCCAGCTACTTGGCAGGCTGAGGCAAGAGACTCGGCTTAAGCTCAAGAGTTTGAGGTTGCTGTGAGCTATGACGCCACAGCACTCTACCAAAGGTGACAAAGACTCTGTCTCTAAAAACAAACTGCACGGGATACAACCCGAGCCTCTGCTGCCAACCACAATTAGAGGGAAATGCCAGCAACTTAGCACAGCACTCACTGACCCTAGAAAACAAGAGTTTGCAAGTGCAGGTCTGGCAATAACTGAGGTATGTAGAAAATGAGTTGGGAATAAAACCCACCCACATTAAAGCCAGAAGAAACACATATAAAGAAACTCAGGGAACTCGTTACAAGCTGGCAAAACTTTACTGGGAGATAAGTAAACAGGTGAAAAAAACTATAACTTTAAGTTTTCTATAACATAAAAATGATTCAAAATAAGCCAGGAAAACACAAAAATGCCTTTACCTTTTAGCGCACTGTCATTGGCACCAAAGAAAACTGTAACTGCTACTGGGCTGTCCAAACTGTTCCCCTTCCTGATTAACCTTGGAAGGATGATTTTGGCCCATCTGGTATTGTAACCTGAAAATCCACGATTCAGAACATCACATTTCCTGAAATGAAAATTTTTAAAAAGGTTAATTGTGGGTGAAGAACTATTAATTGTCCTTGATGGCTAACCTTTCAGTGCTCTCTAAGCTTCTAATGCCACCACAGGGCTCCAAGCCAGCCCTGAGTTTCACACTGCTAAGAGCAAGAACATATTTGAAGCATGCTGTCCTTTAAGTTGTTCAAAGACAGAGGCAAATATGCCGTATTCCTCAACGAGAGAAGTTGTCGATGTGAGTAACTGCACAGAAAGGCGCTGAGATTTAGTGTGCAGGCTGGTCTGGCCCCAGCTCAGAGGGATGCTTTTACTCGCTTTTATTTGTTTGTGACAGATCTGTTGGTGAGTTTTATCCCCAACTCAATTTGAGGAAGTATCTTAGGTAGAAAGTCACTAATAAGCTGTAACTCAAACATGACAATGGTTTTGTTTGGGATAAGTATATAGAATATTTAAGGCTATAGTTTTGGGGTTTTTTTGAGACAGAGTCTCAAGCTGTTGCCCTGGGTAGAGTGCCGTGCTGTCATAGCTCACAGCAACCTCCAATTCTTGGGCTCAAGCAATCCTTTTGCCTCAGTTTTTCTATTTTTAGTAGAGTCAGGGTCTCGCTTTTGCTCAGGGTGGTCTTGAACTTGTGAGCTCGAGCAATCTGCCTGCCTCGGCCTCCCAGAGTGCTAGGATTACAGGTGAACCACCACACCTGACCGAGACTGTAGTTTTGATTCAATAATTTTAGTAAATATATTGGCTGTATTTCAATTTCAATTAATAGGCTTTTTTTTCCTTCTTAAAGTTTGATTGACAGCACCAGATGGTATAATGGAAAAACCAGCCATAACCCTGGAGCCAGGCTGCCTGGGTTTGTATCCTCCTTCCATCTCTGCCTAGATGCTCCGGGCACATCACTGCCTCCTCCTATGTGAAGGGAGGACACTCGCAGCTGAGGAGTATATGGGACGTGTGCTTACCACACCTTAGAAGAGACCAGTCACACATTTGTTTCACAGTAATACATAAAGGGAGGGATGGATGGGTTCATCATACTTTCTGTTTTTGTAGATGTTTCATGGTGTACAGAAAAAATATTTCTTGTAAAATAAAATGAATCTTGGGCCAGGTGCAGTGGCTCACGCCTGTAATCCCAGCACTCTGGGAGGCTGAGGCAGGCAGATCACCTGAGCTCTCGAGTTCCAAACCAGCCTAAGCTAGAGCAAGACCCTGCCTCTAAAAATAGCCGGGTGTTGTGGCCAGCGCTTGTAGTCCCAGCTACTTGGAAGGCTGAGGCAAGAGAATTGCTTGAGCCTGGGAGTCTGAGGATGCCGTGAGCTATGACTCCATGGCACTCTACTAAGGGTGACAAAGTGAGACTCTGTTTTGAAAAAATAGATAAAATGAATCTTGAGGCTTAATTTATGCTTAGCAAATCAATGTGGTGCTTTCTGGTGTATGGTCCAAATTCTTGCATATAAACCACTTATACCGTGTTTCCCCGAAAATAAGACCTACCCCAAAAATAAGCCCTAGCAGGATTTCTATGCATTTGTTAAATATAAGCCCTACCCAGATAATAAGACCTAGTGATGGGCATGGCTATGCAGAGCATTTCGGCGCAGAGAGTTAAGACATCCCCTGAAAATAAGCCCTAGTGTGTCTTCTTAAGAAAAAAATAAATATAAGACAGTGTCTTATTTTCAGGGAAACACAGTAGAAGTGAGGGCACCGATGAATAACTGGTGGCTACTGCCAGGTAACAAAGCAAGTGGCAGGCGGGAATGCATACAAACTGTGGGATGTCCCAGGAAGCATTTACATAGTTGGCACCAACAAAACTCAGGTTTATTTCTGAGTGTCTCATGTGTAACTATTACAAAAAGCGCTGACAATCCATTTTAAAGACTCCAATCTCGGTGGCTGATACCTGTAATCCCAGCACTCTGGGAGGAAGAAGAAAGAGGATCCCTTGAACTCGGGAGTTAGAGACTAGCCTGAGCAAAGGCAAGATTCCGTCTCTACTGTAAAAACAGAAAAAACTAGCGGGACACTGTGGTGGGCATCTGTAGTCTCAGCTACTCAGGAGGTCAAGGCAAGGGGATCACTTGAGCCCAAGAGTTTGAGGTTTCTGTGAGCTGTGAGGCCATGGCATTCTAGCCTGGGCAACAGCTTTAGACTCTGTCTCAGAAGAAAAATATATACAAAAGTAATTTATATGGATTTACAAACTGTTAAAAATGCATTTTGTGACATAGAATACAAAGATATTATTTATTTTATTTTATTTTTTTTTTGCAGTTTTTGGCCTGGGCTGGGTTTGAACCCACGACCTCCAGCATATGGGGCCGGTGCCCTACTCCTTTGAGCCACAGGTGCTGCCCTATTTATTTATTTTTATTGTTATTTTTTTAAGGTGAGCATAGAACAAAGTTTATGGAAGAAGACAAAGGTAAGTTTAGAGGAAGAGCTAGATATAGAGGAAGAGCTTACAGAGCGAAATACATTTGGCACAGAGAGTGAAAGGGCCTCAACTGCCAGGGCAAGTAGGCAGAAGCCCAGAGATCTTATTTAAAGCTAAACTTCAAGAACATCACTATGAGATGAGGAGTGAACACTGAATTGTCTTTTTTTTTTTTTTAACAAGTTAGGTCTTGCTCTGTTGCCCAGGCTAGAGTGTAGTGACTGCATCATAACTCAGTACAACCTTGAACTTCTGGGCTCAAGCGATTCTCCTGCCTCAGTCTCCAGAGTAATTGGCATTACAAGCAAGTGCTACCACACCCAGCTTAATTCTATGTTTAATAATTTATTAATATTAGTGTATGCAGGCTTGGTCCCTGTAGCTTAGGGGCTAGAGCGCCAGCCACATACACCAGGGCTGGCAGGTTTGAACTCGGCCCATGCCTGCCAAACAACTACAACAAAAAAAAAATAGCCAGGCATTGTGGCAGGTGCCTGTAGTCCCAGCTACTTGGGAGGCAAGAGAATCGCTTGAGCCCAAGAGTTTGAGGTTGTTGTGAGCTGTGACACCCACAGCACTCTACCAAGGGTAACGTAGTGAGACTATCTCAAAAAGTAAAAAATAAAAAATTACTGTATATAGTACAAGAGGACAGTTGTAGTAAGATGTCTCTTAACATCCTTACTCTTTTTTTTTTTGAGATAGAGCTTCAAGCTGTCCCCCTGGTAGAGTGCTGTGGCATCACAACTCACAGCAACCTCCAACTCCTGGGCTCAAGCGAGTCACTTGCCTCAGCCTCCCAAGTAGCTGGGACTACAGGTGCCCACCACAACACCCGGCTATTTTTTGGTTGCAGTCATCATTGTTGTTTGGTGGGCCCAGGCTGGATTCGAACCTGCCACCTTAGGTGTATGTGGCTGGTGCCTTAGCCACTTGAGCCACAGGTGCCGAGCCAACATCCTTACTCTTAAATATGGCAATTAGGATAAATTAAAACACTGGGATCAGTTCAGGCCTGTGCAGATGGTTGAAACAGACATCCTAAAAAAGACAGGTGGACTTGAAGTGCCCCGGTCCCCTGGCAGTGAGTAGAGATGATGTCTTTGATGCCATCCAACTCCTCAGCGTCCTATGACAGGACCCAGCTTACCCTGACCTCCCAGTTTCCCACAGGGCTCTGCTATAGGAAGAATATTGGGTCAATATCCAAAATGAACTCAACTGGGGAGTTAAGAATATATATGAACACTTCACTGACTGTTTAAATCACATTGATTGTTATAACTAAAAAAGAATGTGTTACTAGCTGGGCGGAGTGGCAGGCACCTGTGGCCCCAGCTACCCGGGAGGTGGAGGCAAGAGATGGCTCAAGCCCCAAGTTTGAAGCTGCTGTGAACTATGAGGCCATTGCACTCTATCCAGGGTGACAGAGTGAGGCTTTGTCTCAAAAAAAAAAAAAAGAAAGAAAAATAATCTGTCTTCTGTCTTCTGTAAATGGTAAATAGTTTTATTTTTTAGATCCCAAACTCTTAATACATTTAGATCCCAAACCCATAATACATTTTCTACAAATTTTAGTGTTTGATTTCACCTGGTGGCATAGTCCATAGTTTTTTTTTAGACAGAGTCTCAATCAAGCTGTTGCCCTGGGTAGAGTACCATGGCATCAAGCTTACAGCAACCTCCCAACTTGGGCTCAAGCGATCCTCTTGCCTCCGTATTTTAGTAGAGACGGGGTCTTGTTTTTGCTCAGGCTCGTCTCCAACTTGTGAGCTCAGGCAATCCACCTGCCTCAGCCTCCCAGAGTGCTAGGATTACAGAAGTGAGCCATCATGCCTGGCCCTGAGCTGACATTTTCTATCAATAACTACTCAAGTATCCATCCAGAATCCATTCTCACCTGACTAGCTTGTCAGCCAGCGATGCTCCCCATCCTCCCTGCTGAAACGAAAACTGAAGAAAGAAAAGCCCATTATTACCACTTCTCAGTGTAATCAGACCATTTCAGTAAGGTTTTT